CACACACACACACACACACACACACACACACACACACACACACACACGAGAGAGAGAGAGAGAGAGAGAGAGAGAGAGATACAGACAGAGAGAGTTCTATTTTAGAAGGAAAATAATTAGGGGTGGGAAGCATAAGAATGATATTTTTTTTTAAAGCCTCTGCCAATTTAGCCTTTGCCTTGGCTGCGGACCCCGTGGCTCTGAGCAGCTTTTCTGGACCATAGACAGATACAGCTCTGCGTTTGAGGGGCTTTCCTAAAGTAAGCCGACGAAGGAGTAGGGATACGGACAGGGGCTTGCGATTTGAAGGGTCCTTCGGGAGTAAGCGAGCAGGTTGTATTTCAGTGGTGTTCTGAATGGGTGTTGGAAGGCTGATGTCATTCATATCCCAGGTTGGAACCCCAGAAGAGAATGTTAGAGTCGGAATAGGCAAAAGAGAGTGAGTGAGCTGGGTCTGTCACTGAGTGACTCCCCTGAAATTACTTGACTCATGAAGTGACACAGGGGTCAACTCAACACACCAAGACTTTCTGTCCTCTCTACTCTTTCTAGGGTGTGCTTGTCTCTCAGTCTCTCTCTCTCTCACACACACACATACACACATAGTTCTGTTTTTATCTATGTATATCTACGTCTTTATTTTTATTTCTACATCGTGTGCAGCCATATGTCTGTCTATCTATCTATCCATCTGTACTTATGTGTGTGTGATTTATAACCTATCATCTATCTAGAAAGCAGTTTACACTGCTAGGTCTTCATCTTCAATTTACAGTAAACACTTCGGTGAGACTTTTTTTTGTTTTTTTTAGTTTCCAGTGGTTCTGCATATCACGTGTGCACATCTTCCACCTCTGATTGTTGTGTCTCTTGCAATGCACTCTCGTCCACAGCATTCCCAGTGGGTTACTCCCAGGACGTGTGTGTAGGACATAGGTGTGGGCCGCTCAGGGACTTCACGCATGGTCTCCAGGTCACTAACCACAGGCAGCCACGGCGATTTCCTCTGCCGGTAGAGCATACTAATCATCTGGATTCCCGTCCTAAAGGTGCTGCCAAGAACTCTTGCCATTCCGTTTGTTGAGGTCTCTAGGAATTTGGGGCTCCCTCCTATCCTGGTCCACTCTGATCTGGTGCTGACCAACTGGACCAAGAGGAACCCTGAAGGGTAAGGAGGGAAAGGTTTCTTCAGATATCAACAGACTGAGGTTGAGGATAGACTCAGGACTTCAGCTGTCCCCACGAAAAAGGGTTCAGGATCTTAGGGCTATTTTATACGGGTCTGTGTGTTCACATCCATCATTTGTCTTATGGTTCCTATGAAAGAGTGAATACAGACGTTTAAACTTCAGACATTTCTTCTTTGTGGGCTCTAAGCACGTTGGCCTCAAAGGATTTCTCTTGATGCTTCCTCTCCACACCTGGATTTCTCAATCAGACCTTCAGCTTCCTGCATATAAGCACGCTGGCTGTGCTGTTTTTCCCATCATGTGACCTCCCTTCTGCCCTCCATTCAAGTCAAGTCAGGACTGGGTGTCAAGGGGTGATCAATCTGATTATGAACGAATAATCCCAGGTGTGTGGGATTCTGATTTATGCCATCTATTCCACCTAGCTTACACCATTTCACAGTTGGCCTGGGCATAGAAGCATTTGTCTATTGATTTTTTTTTTTTAAACAAACAACAAATCCATGGAGACTTCATTTTCACAGTCAAACTTGTTTCAGGTGGCAGATGCAAGGCAGCATTTACTTTTGTGATAAATCAAAACATCAAAAGAGGAGTTGAGGCCGGATAGAAAGAGGCCTTCCTTGGTGTAATGGTTGTAGGTAGCTAGGCATTACTGAAGGAGATGGTTGAAATCTCCTGTGGAAGCTTACAGGAACCTAACATGCCTACCCTTCCTTGTGAGAACTGAAAAGGGCTCCCCTCTATCTAAGGACTGCTGAGCCCTAGAACTCTGTGCTTTCTGTGATGATGATGCTGGTGTAAGATGACGTCATGCGATGTTGGTGTCATATGATGATGTCATGTGGTGATGTCATATGAAGATGATATATATGTCTGTGTGTGACTGAGGACTGAATGAGCCAGTGTGTGTGAGGCAGGTGCTCCACTCCTGCCTTCTATCCCACAGTCCTCTCTTTGCTTTATATTTAGATACAGTTTTTCACCACAGTGCCAAAGCTGGCGTGTAATTCACACTGTGGTATAAGCTGTCCTTGACTTGATCCTTCTACCCCAGCCTCTTGACTAGCTGGAACTAAAGGCATATACCACCAGGCACACATGGAAAGCTCGTGACTCTAGCTTAGAACTGGAATGGGTGAGATCATAAATATAAGTGCCTGGATTACTGTGGTGACTGCACAGCTGGGTTTATGACTCAAGGGAAAAGGAGAAAGGTCTGGAGGGAGAATGTGTCTGCTCTGGGGAGAGAGAGTGGAAAACAGCCACAGGAAGTGAGGTGCAGGGCCCAGAGATGCAGGTGCAGGCCTGGGGGTCCCCAGCCGTTCTTCTGGGTGATCACCTCCCTGAGTCTTCTAAGATGACTACACAGAGCTTACTAGTGCCATAAGGAAATGAAAGAAATAGCAGCAAAGCGCCCCCAAAGCGGTTCAGCATCGAGACACAAACAGTAGTTCAATGTTGAGAGAAACACAGTGTCTTTAGAATTCCAAGAGAGTGGCAGGGAGAGCATGGCCAGGGGGCAGACGCCGATCCAAGGCATATCCTAACAGGCAGGGTAGGACTGAGTAACTGAAGAGAGACCTGCAGTGATTGACAGCTGAGGAGCATCAAGCGTGAACTCGTGCCTGCAAAGACAGCCAGGCACTGGCGCTGGGAATTTGGTTTATGCTGCCACCCAGTGGCTCACTGTCCAGTGACAAACCATGACATGCTGGGCATGACATACGTGGGCATTGCAGATGAGAACCTTAGCCTGGGTGCCTCAGACCCAAGAATTCTATCTGGTTATCAACTGAGTTGTTTTCTTCTTTTTCTCTTTGTCACTGCCAACAACTGAAATGTGACCAGACCATTGGAGATCAGGTAAGATGTCCCTTTAGAACCACGGTTACCTTATCTTAAAGACTTATGAGAAAAACAAGGGGGGGGATGCTTGTCAAGATCGATGGACAGCACAGTAGCAGCTGTCTGAGAGCTCATGAAAATGCAGGGAAATGTGACAAAGAGTCCGCGGTCCAAGCGGTAGCTCTGATGGAGGCTACCTTGTAGGGGTGCCGGGATTCACTTTTCTTAAACACATGTCCTTGTGTGCCAACAATAAAAAGCGCAGCGTAAGAAAACAGCTGTGACTGGGAAACCTGACAGAGACATTTCATCTCTGTGTACCATCTGCAAAAGGTCAGGGGCAGCCAGGTAATGGCTGACAAGAGTCCTTCTGAAATCCCTCGTCCTCTGGTGGACTGGAGCCCACTGGGGTAGGTCTGGTCTGTGGTCAGAGGCTCCACCCTTCCTGGGAAGCAAAGTCGGCAGATAAATCACAGTTGCACCCCACACCCATCTGCCCTCAGATCCGTGAAGGGCGCAGGTAGAAGGCAAAGATGTCATTCCCCAAGCTGACACACTTGTGCTGGACCACTGGCAGCGTTGGCAGCACGTGACTTGCATCTGCTTTGCTGTTTTGAGGCTTGAGTCTTGGCTTTGCTTGTGCTTGCGATGCTAGGGATGAAGCGGCCTGGGTTTGGTAGATCAGCTCAGGTGGGAAGATGTCAGGTTGATTCGAATTGACCCCTCTTTTTTTCCTCTCTTTTTAAATTTTTCTCTCATATATTCCATCCCAACTGCAGCCTCCACTTCCCTCCCTCCACTCCTTTCAGTCCTCTTCCCATATCCCCTTTCCCCCAGATCCACTCTTCCTCCATTTCCCTTCAAAAAGGGTGTGTGTAGGTGTGAGGGGATGGGGGTAAGGAGGCTTCCCAGGAATGCCCACAAAACATGGCATAACAAGTTAGAAGAAGACTGGGCACAAACCCTCACATGGAGGCTCCATGAGGCGACCCAGTGGGAGGAAAGGGGTCCTAAGAGCAAACAAAAGAGTCAAGACACCCCTGTGCCCACTGTTAGGAACCCCACAAGAACAACAACCTGTAAGATCTGTAAAGGGGTCCTCTTTAATCACTCTAGCTCCAAGACCCCTTAGCTTTGGCTATGAGTGATCATATCCAGAAGGACCAGATACTCCTGCCACAAAGAACTGTTCAGACGTTGTGGTTCCCATGAGTCTTTCACTGGGGCAAAGGTCAGGGATCATCAAGAACATGGTAAACACCAAGAGTCCTCTGGGCGGGGGAACTTGGCTCCAACTGACCTGGCCTCCTTCCTTCCCCGGGGGCCTCTTTCCCCCAGTAACCTGGAGACCATCATCTCTTTCCCGGGGGGAGAGAGCCTGCAGGGCTTCGTCCTGGTGACAGTTCTGGTGGAGAAGGCAGCAGCACCTGGCATTAAGGTACTTTCTCACTTCACAGTGTTTCGTCTTCAGTGGTTTTCTCCGTTCGGACAGTCAGCCCTTTTCCTACTTGGGTTGAGTATGAAGGGGGAGATCTGAATTCACCCTGTGGTGTCAGTACCCTTTTAGCCTGCTGTGAACGGATTTCTCCATCCGCACACCACAGGCAGGGAGCAAGGGACACCCTGAGGTAGCTGTCGCCGTTCTTGCTCTCGCAGAAGCTAGAGTCACACAGGTTAAAAATAAAACAAAGAAGGAGAAAGGCTGTTTCATGAAAAGACAGATAAAGGCAAATCCGCCCTGGACAGTGGTTCCCCCCCCGAAACGGCAGCTGGATTAAGACCTAGTGGGGAGAGGGTATGTTTCTTTCAAGACACCAACTTTGCCAAGACAAGAGAAGAAATGGTCTCTTCCAGAAAGCAGGCATCCACTAAAGCTCTAGATCTATCTTAACCCATAGGTAAAGGTGAGGTCTGGGTGCTCACGCATCGTTATGTCCTGCCCTTCTACAGCCTATGGGATCTGAAGGGGAAAATGAATTGTGGACCCCCTCCGCCTGGGGCTGGGAAACCTGAGTGACTTCAGTGATGATGCCTGCTGTGTGGTAGGGTGTCCGTTCCTGGCATAAGTATTGGCAAACTCCATGGTCAAGCAGGGGCGTGGCCTGTGAAAGCCCTGGTTTCCAGCCACGTCCACATGCTATGGTGGAATCCTGTAGCCGTGTCCATCCTTGTCCATTTGTCTGATCCAGTGGAAGAGGCAGCATGTGGTGGTTCGTCAGCTCAGCTGAGGAGATCAGGCCAAGACAAGGAGGGCTTCGGGGCAGATGGAGTTGTGAACCTGGGAGAATCAGGGCCTGTCTGATGTCACACAAGAGCTCTCCAGTGAGGCTGAGCCAGGTGGGGTTGCCAGAGTAGAAACAAGAAGTCCAAAGGGAAGACCCCACTTAGGCTCCAGGGGTATTCCAGAAGTGTGGGCTCCTGGGATCGGCCTCCGTTTTGGATTTTAAGGGGGAATAGAGAACTGAGAGTGATTCTCATCCCTAGGCCCTGGTTCAGGGAGTGGAGGCCATTCTGCGACACAGCCGGGAAACCCTGCTCCAGGCCCTGCAGCAGCTGAAGCTCTCCATGCAGGATATCACCAGAACCTTGGCCCAAATGCACGGTAAGACGCTGGAGTAGCGCCTCCAGAGGCCTGGACCTGGACGGACCCCACCTGGGTGATGGTGCTCCACCTCTCCACAAGATGGCGCTGGTGTTCTACCTTTGTTTAGAGTAACCCGTCCCCTCGCTGAGAATGAGTTTTCAGCCGGCGGAAATAATGTTTTGCAGAATCGTTCTTTATATTTTTGTGTGATTGGGGTAGTTTCCCTTCTTCGGGGTCAGATCCGTCTTTGGGACGCTGAGTTTTCGGCGAAGCCTGAGAGATCGGATGAGTCACGAGGGGAATGTTGGTTGGTTGTGCTTCAGGCTCCCAGGTTAGGCTTACTGGAGGACAGGGCTGTCTCGAGGAGGTATTAGCAAGCCCCCCAAGAGTCGTTTGTTTTTCCTCTCTGTGGGTTCTGAGACACCTAGGCCTGACCTGGGCTTCCGTGGCCAGTGCGGGCAGGAGCTGGGGTAGGAAGATGTGCATTCTTCTCTGATGGCCAACTTTTGTTCTGGAGGTACCAGATACCCGGCAGGCTCTTCAATTTTCATGAACACAGAACTCTATCAGCTGTGCTCGCTGAGAGCTTTAGGCAGGTTCAAGGGAGGAGCGCGTCCCCTTCGCAAGAGAAACAAAGTCAAACACCCTTTTCCCGGAGGAGTCTTAGCTTCATAAAAGGAAGATTCCGGTAGGAGTGTCCAAGGGGCACAGGGGGAGAAGGAGATGGTATGTCACCTTACACGAAATAAACGGAGTCCCCCCAGGCTTTGTGCAGTCCCCTGAGGTCACAGGATCACACATTTCCAGCTCACTTCCTATTTCCTTGGATCCAAGTTCTCATAGATGTGTTGGTTGGTTTCCCAAACCTGCTCCCCGGATAGTGAGATGCACTGCAGCTTTGCCAAGAAACCCGGGGTCATTACTCTTAAGGTCTCCGGATCCCAAGGTGAACAGTGGAGTCGTTGGGAAGATTTTGATACGCTCTGGTGACGCATGCTGTGTGCTACATAGTTACACAGTAGCATCTAACACAAGCTTGCCAGTGCTAGTTTTCCACCATGTTCCAAGTCCAGAAAGAACCTCAGGATCCTCTGAAGGAGGTCTGAGGACCCGGGAGCCTCCAAATGTGCCCCTTCCATCCTGTTTGATCCTAAGACAGATTTCCCCATGCAACAGGATTTTCAAGGTTTTATGACTAGCTGAATCCACATGCATGGGGAAGGAGGGCGACCTGTGTGCACACTTTCCCAAAAAACGGCAACAGCACATTTCTCACCATCCCACGAGGTCCTCGGTGTGGGCAGGCCCTCCTCTATCTCAGGATGGAGCATGCGGCCCTGCCTCTGACATTCTTGGAACCAAAAGAAAACAGTAGCCAGAATGGCAAGTCCACAAATGGCCAGTGAGTTTCCATCTTGAATGTTGAGACACCAAGGGAAACAATGCCAGGCCGAGTGACCATGGCAAACCGCACCAGGAGGCTGACAGCCAGCTCAGAGGCCAATGGGCCTTCAGATGATTTTTCTGTACTGAGCCCACTGTGGCACTGTGGGGCAGGAACAGGCCACCACCCCCTTGCCCTGGGCACAGGCAGAAACTTGTGCACAGCCTCTGGGCCGTGTCTGATCTGCAGCTGCTACTTTGTGTGTGTGTGATACAGAGTTTGGCTGGGCAGATTCCCTCTGCTCTCAGTCCCCAGGTTAGACTTCACCAGACAGCCAGTCGCTCTTTTCAGAGCCCAGCTTCAGCAAACATTCTTTCCCTCAGCACATACTTCCTTCCCGGGCATGCCGGCTTCACAAAAAAATGCCTTTTGTGGACATCAGAGGCCCACTGCAGTGGGAGCCAAGTCCCCAGGCCTCTGCCCAGCTTAACGGAGCTGTTGTCCACAGTGCTCAGAAACAGCTAACGAAAATAAAACCAGCCTGCTCTGCTTATACCCGAACTCCCACACGGCCATCACGGTGCTGAATGTCAGACCCGGCCCCCCAACCTGTTGTTGCTTGCTTCAGTTTAGCGCTATGTACCTGTGTGACGTCTTACCTTTATGGCCCACCTGGGTGGGAATTCGGTGACCCACTGGACAGCCAGAGTATTTTCAGGGCTTCGAGCCTTTAAATCGCTTCCAGGAATGATTTTGCAGCTCATCAACAGGCCACGCCCCTAAGAGTCAATTCCCCTTAGAAAGGTCAAGGTGTATGTATTTCTCTCCAGAAAGTAGTTTGTTTGCTTCCTTTACTTCCTCTGGCATCAACAGAAGGTCCGACCTCAGCCTGAACCACAGCCTAAACAACGTTTTCTTTTAGGGGCTGTTGAGATGCTTAGATGCACAGCGCTGGCTATGTCACCTGAGGAGGCGAGTCTCCACCCCCAGTACCCAAGCACACAGCTGGGCCTGTGGTTCACATCTGTAATCCTAGTGCTGGGGAGCGGAAAGCAGGAGGGTCCAAGAGCTCCTGGCAGCCAGCAGAATAGAATCTGTGAGCTGTACTCTCTGGGAGAGACTCAAAGGGGGTGAGGGAGGGGACACCCAGAGCTGACCTCGGGCTGACCTCGGGTCGTCACACGTTATGCACACACCTGCACACAGGCACGCACACCCAGGGGTAGAATTTTTGTTATGCTGGGCGTGAGCAGTCAAACGTTCCCCTCTGACAAAGCGCTAACTGATGGATGTCTTCCGAGGATGACAAACTACATTCATCTGAGAAGAACCTCTGAGAAAAAAAAAAAAAAAAATGCCTCCGTCAGTTTGCCCGCAAGCAAGTCTGTAGGAAATTTTCTTGATTAATGGTGCAAAGGCCCAGCCACTGTGGGCGGTGCCTGGCTGCTATAAGAAAACAGGCTGAGCAAGCCTGGAAGCAGCATTCCTCCGTGGTTTCGGCTTCAGTTCCTGCCTCGACTTCCCTTTATGTTAGACTATAAGCTGCAAGAGGACCACGTCGACGGCAACGCACGCACCCAAGGCAACTCTCAACACGTTGAAAATTCTTCAGCTTTGGAGAAGACTCTGGAGGGGGTATTAATGTATCAGACTACCTAGAGATGTACCACCCACAGGTTTTTGTTTTGTTTTGTTTGTTCCCATAGCCGGGGGTGGGGCGTAGGTCCTGAGCATGCTCAGTAGGTACTCAGCCAGTGCTCCACATCCCGAGAATCCACAGTTCTTTCTGCTTCAGGTTAGCTTGGATTTGCCCACATATTCACGCCCTTCCCCGCCCTGCTCTCTCCTGCACGTAATTATTTGACTCATTCTGCTTTTCTTTCTCTAGCTGTCATAAGACACTTTTTACACTTGCCAAAAGTGATGCGGGAAGGAAAGGGTTTATTTTGCTTCGACTTCCGGGTCACAGGCCATTACCCAGGGGAGGAAAGTTGGGGCAGAACTATGGAGGACGCAGCTTACTGCCTTGTTCTCAGGCTCACTGTTAGCTACTTTCTTCTACAGCCAGTGCCACCTGCTGATGGGTGAAACCCCCCTCACCTCAGTTAGCAATCAAGAAAATGCACCCCCTTGGGTCCACAGGCCAATCTGGTGGAGGAAATCCCCCAGCTGAGGCTGTCTGATAACTCACGACTGTGCCAAGGTGACGGCTTAGGCTTTCTTGAAGACACGCCTGCTAATAGGTTAGAAGGTGGCAAGCTCTGTTGCCTAAAAATGGACTCATTTCTCTTCCAGGATCAAACAGTGTTTTTGCTAGCAACGAATCCTTTCAGGCACTGAACATACCAAAACAGGGTCTTCGGGCCCCAGTGTTTGAGGCCTGAGCTGTCGGTCTGTCTTCTCTGCCTGGCTGCTTTTATCCACTTCTTTGTTTGTTCTTGATTCTTACTTCTATTATCCCACTGATTCTTGTGGTTGTCATAATGTCTTGCCTGCTCTCTCAGTACAGGTCTTCATTGGCTATCGAGTTCCCTTGTGTGTGAATGCAGCGTATGAGTGTGTTTCCATGCGCGGGTTTGCTTGCGTTTCTTTCAAGGTGAGACAGACGTCTATATCCTGCTTTAATTACGGTTATTATTCTGCTTTATTATTTGCAGTTTTTGCGTTTATCAAACCTGTATTTTAGTTAATTACCTCCACGCTTCCGTTTCTCACTTGTAGAATGAACCTGGTATTTAAACATTCACTTGGAATTTAAGGACTTTGGTAAACATGGTTGTTGATTGCAGCAGTAACCTACAGGTTATCTGTTATTATTATTATTTTTTTTTATGTGGGAATCTTGTTGCTGAGAAGGGCTTACACTCATCTCTAATTCCTGATTGCAGTTTTCCTTCCCTTTCCTTCTCTCAGTTCCTCCCCACCTTCCCTCCCATCCAGATCCATTCCCTTTCTGTGTTGCATTAGAAAATAAACAGGCTGCTAAGGGATAATAATAAAATAAAACAAGATAAAGCGAAAACTGTCAAATTGGAGTATTACAAGACAAACAGATTGAAAAGAGCCTTAGAAAAGGCACAAAACCAAAATAAAACAGAACAAAAACAGATACAGGTGTACACACATCTACACACTCAGGAATACCAAAAACCAGAAACCATGTGTGTTGGCTAGTTTCCAAACTCAGTACATAACTTATTTGAGAGGAGGGAGTCTCAGTTGAGGAAATGCCTCTATAAGATTGGCCTGTTCTCAAGCCTGTAGGGCATTTTCTTAATTAGTGATGGATGGGGGAGGGTCCCGCCCATTGTGGGTGGTGCCATCCCTGGCCTGGTGGTCCTGGGTTCTGTAAGAAAGCAGGCTGAGCAAGCCATGAGGAGCAAGCCAGTAAGCAGCACCCCTCCATGACCCCTGCCTCAGTTCCTGCCTCCAGGTTCCTGCACTGCTTGAGTGCCTGCCCTGACTTCCTTTGAGAAGGAACTATGATGTAGAAGCTTAAGCTGAATAAATGCTTTGTTCCCCCTGGTCATGGTGTTTTATTAGCGCAATAGAAACCCTGACTAAGACACTATATAAAAGACAATAAAAATTAAAGGTAAGATAACATTTAAAGAGAGGGTCCCTGGTATGATATTATCAGACAATGAGCTTCCAAAGATGCCATAGAGCAGCTGTTTCCCCATGAGACTTCCTAGAGCACACTAAGTTTCCATTTTCAAACAATTATCTATTGGAGAGAGCATCTGGGATAGGGATGGGGCATGTGTCCACTTTTCCTCTCAGCACTGGGATCCCATCCGGTTGCAGATGTAGGCCCCGTGCTTGTTGTCATAATCTCCCCGAGTCTGTATGTGCCTTGCTCCTGTTGATTGAATGGACCTTGTTTTCTTGGTGTCCTTTTTCTCCTCTGATTCTTACACCATTCTTGCTTTTTCTTCCACATGGCTCCCTGACCCCTGAGGGGAGGGCTTTGATGGAGACATCAAAATCCATTTAGGCCAGAGTGTTTCAAGGTCTCTCACTCTCTGCAAAATGTCTGGCTGTGGGTCTCTGTATTTGTTTCCCATTTGCTGCAGGAGGAAGCATCTCTGATGGTGGCTGAGCAAGGCATTGATCTATGAGTACAGCAGAACATCATTAAGTCATTTTATTGCTGTTTTTTTTTTGTTTTTTTTTTTGTTTTTTTTTTAAGATCACTATTACTTGTTTTTTTTTTTTTTTCCCCCTAGGTCCCTGGACCATCTAGCTTCAGGTTCTTGGTCACCCAAGCAATATCAGATATGGATTCTGTTTTACACAGTGGGCCTGAAGTCAAGTCAGATTTTGGTTAGTTACTCCCAGATTTTGTACCACAATTGCAGCAGCATGTCTTGCAAGCAGGACACCATCGTAGATCCAAGACTCTCTAGCTGGCTTTTTCACTCTTCTCCTTTGGTAGAGTACAGAGTCCCACCCTGTGCCCAAGACACCAGCATAGGGGAATGAATCTCTATGTCATCACCAGCTCAGCTTGTTCATGCTCACTGAGTTGCATAGGAATTGCCTTCAGCAATGGAGCCTTGTCAGTTGTGCAGAGCAGCCTATTGTCCTGTCAACATCCTGGATTGCTTTGCAAGGGGTTCCTGTGGGACCCCTTCGGTCAACAATGCAATCAGATATAACCCATTTACAGTACCAGAAGCTTTATTTGGTGATAAGAGATGTCCAATTGGGGCTCTGTCTCTCTCCCCCATTATTTGGTAATTTCAGTTAGATTGCCTTCATTTATGTGTATATTTTAGGAAGCTTCTGCTGTATTAGGTTTCCATACTTCCGCTGCTTTGGGCCTTAACCTTAGGAGTCTCTCCCTGTATTCTCTCCCTCCTCCACCTCTTCTGTCCTCCTCTCCACTTGATTCTCCTGTTTAGTTCCATTTCCCCATCCACCTATAACTATCTATTCCATTTCCCTTTCCTGGGGATATCTATCTGGCCCTCCTCACTCCCACAGTCTCTTACTCTGTACCTAACCTCTGCAGTTCTCCTGACTGTAGCTTGTTTACCATTGCCTTAATAGCTAATATCCACATATAAGTAAATACACATTTATCTTTCTTTGTCTGGATTACCTCACTCAGGATAATCTTTTCTAGCTCTATCCATTTACCTGCAACTTTCATGATTGCATTTTTAATGGCTGAATAATATTCCATTGCACAAACACACCACATTTTCTTTACCCATTCATCTGTTGAGGGACATCTGGTTTTTTATTTTTCAATTTCTGGATCTTATGAATGGAGCATCAATAAACACTGTTGAGCAAGCGTCCTTCTGGTAAGATGAAGTGTCTTTTGGGTATATACCCAAGGATGGTATAGCTAGATCTTGAGGTATGACTTATGCTGTGGTACTGTTTCTATTATGAACATGGGTGCCTTTGTGTTTGATGAATAGATGTTAAGAACTGCAATGTCCTCTTGGTGGACTTTTTTTTTTTTTTTTTTTTTTTTTTTGCTTTGAGTATATAGTGTCCTCCCCTGTCTCTTCTGATTTTAAGTCTATTTCATCGGACATTAAAATGGCCATACCAGATTGCTCCGTAGGTCCATTTGGTTAGAATATCTTTTTCCATCCTTTTATCCTCAGGTAATGTTTATGTTAAGTTGTGTTTCTTGGATGCAGCAGAAGGATGAATCCTGTTTTTGCATCCATTCTGTCAGTTTGTGTCTATTTATTGGGGGAATTGAGACCATTGGGGTTGAGATTAATCAATGAGTAGTGTTTGATTTCTGTTATTTCATTGTTGTTGTGATGGTGGTGGTGGTGGCGGTGGTGATGGTGATGGTTGTATTGGTTGTGGTGGTGGTGGTGGTGGTTGTGGTGGTGATGGCTGTGGTGGTTGTTGTAGTGTGTGTGTGTGTATATATGCATGTGTTTTCCCTTCTTTTGATTTGCTGCTCTGGGATTATTTATTATTTGTGGTTTTTTTGGGTGTGGTTAACCTCTTCAGGCTCTTCTTTCTAGTGCCTTCTGTAGAGCTGGATTTGTAGATAGATATTGCTTAAATTCAGTTTTATCATGGAGTGTCTTATTTTTTCCATCTATTGATCATTAATTCTTATATGTTTTATTTCTTTCTTCTGGCTCAGAGCTCTAATACAGTACTGAATGGAAGTACTGATTCTTCTTTTATGAATCGTTTTTAAATATCTACTGAATGTATTTTACATTTTCATGTAAACCCTGTTGTATCTATCGAAATGATCACTTGGCTTTAATTTAGTACACATCACCCACTTTTTTCTGCAAAGGGCTTAATGGTTTGGATAATAAGAAAATGCCAATACTCAAGAGCGCTCCCAGAAAACAGCCTAGCACACGGGACACTTGAGAGTCACACTTGAGGACACAGCTGTGACCGCACTGAGGGGTGTCTGAAAGCACTGGGGCTGCACCGTCCTGGCTAATGGGGGCTTCAGAGAAAATGGACAGGGAGAAGAGAAGAAAAACTGGACTCTGAGTGTAATGGGGCAAGAAGAAAGCTGATGGGAAGGGTGTGTTGTTAGCTAGACTTTATCAAAAGATGTTCCTTTTTCTTTCAGAAACAAAGAAATATAAGCATTCATTTGGGTAAGATAAATGTGGACTGATTTCCCAGAATGCAGAGGACCCCAGTGATGTAGCTAGCTCAGCCTTTTAAAGTAGATCAAAGACATTTAGAATTAATAGAGCCGTGATGACCCTGTTCCTTAGGTAGGAGCGCATCCATCTTCCCCAAGGACTCCACCACCCAAGCATGGCCGGTCTGGGCAGCTTGGGGCTAACAGCTCTGTTGGCCCGCTGTGACAACCCCTGGAAAGCCCGCCGCTCACAGTGACACTTCCGGATGTCCGTCATTTGCTCTGCTTCGCCTGTCGAAAGGGGTGGTCTCTGCTGTTCTTTTCTAAGCTTTCCATACTCTCCTGTGCACTGTGTCACCTGTACGCTCTTGCACATTGTGTCTACTTAAAATATTTTTTAAAGGATGGTCTTAGTCTCTGACTGGTGGGGGTGAAGTACAGAAAAGGGGAGGCCAGCATATAGCACGGATGAGCAGCCCTGTGAGGGCCCGTGCCCTCTTCAAGGGAACATTCCATCTACACTTGCTGCTTCCATTCTGGGCTCTGCATAGATCAGATAGGGGTGAGGGAGCCCCAGGAAAGCAGCAGGGGCCAGGCACATGTGGCCAATTGTTTTTATGCCTGTGGTAAAGTTCACATTTGATTGTTTTCCAGATTGTGTAGACCCAGACATATTTTACTCAGTCATCCGGATCTTCCTCTCCGGGTAAGTACAGTTCAGTTGGTTTCCTGCCTAAGACCTTCGTACAGTTCCCCAGATTTGTGTGATGATAGACAGATAGAAGCTTCCTAAAGTAGGAAATATAACAAGTGAACCAAGCTGGCAAAGCCACCACTTGGGTCCACTATCTAGGAAGACAGAACCCAGGAACCATCAGAAGGAAAGGGCTCTCAGGCTGGGTTCTTGTAAGGGCAATGAGATTGTCTTCAGCCACCAGATGGAACCATGGATCCCCTGAGAACCCCAACTTTATGACAGGGGAAAAAAAATCCAACCAACCAACCAACCAACCAACCAACCAACCAACCAACCAACCACCACCACCAACACCACCACCACCAAAACCCAGTAATAGTCACTTTTTGCCTCTTTGACCTTTGAGGTCATAGCATTCACAAATCTATCTAGAAACAAGAGTCTAGGCCTTCACCTGACTCACACTTTTGTCCCTCCCTCCCTCCTCTCCTCTCTCACACACACTCACATCAGGCACATTTTTTTTTCTCCTGATTATTCCTACCTTGACACACTCAGTCAGATTGTCATCCAATTCGCCAACTAGCGGAACTGATTCGCTGTTGACTTTTGTGTCTTGTCGACTTTGAGGAGCTGTTGATGCTGTCGAGAGAAAGCTGCTAAGCTGTGCCTGGACACGGCAAGAGGCAGACTACATGCTAACTGTATGAATGCCGTCCCCCATTGGGAAATGGGTACATGTGTGGTGTACTTCCTCCAGACTGGGGAGTGGTGAGACACTCTGAGGGGGCTGTGGTGAACCCTCTTGCAGGGAGCAAAGACTGGACACAAGAATGTTTCCAGAGAGTCACGTGAGAGTGATACGGAGGGAAATGAGCATACACGGTGGATTTTAAACAGTCCCAGAGTCCCTGTGTGGAAAGCTGCCTGCTTTTATGGTACCATTGAAGCTGTAGAGGGTCAGGAGGTAGAGGCTCCTGCAAAGAAAGTATGCTCTTGAAAGGTTTTTAGGGTGCTGCCCAAGGCCATCAGCCTTGCTCCTCCATGTTCCGTCCACAAGGATGCCCTGCCCAGCCACAGCCAAAGTGATGAGATCAAAGGCCCGTGGACAAAATCTCAAAGCACAAACCAGTAAAGTCCCACTTTCTGATAGGTTGATTACTTCAGGTGTGTGCTACGGCAACAGCTTTGATCTATGGGGTGACAAAGGCTTTGTTTGTTTGTTTGTGTGTTTTGAGATCTCATAGCAAGCATATACTAGAAGGGGTCAGTGAGGACAGGCCTCCCTGTGTCCCCCCTGCTCTGAAGCCTCTGTGAGCTCTCTGTAGTATAAACACTACCACACCTTCAGCAGCTTAAAAAAACCTAGCTGTAGTCTTTCAGAGGACCCTCTATAGCTGGCTCCCATCCTGTTCCCTCTCTTCCACCACTTCTGAATGAGATTTAAGCATCCTCCCTGGAGTCTTCCTTGTTGTTTAGCTTTTTTAGGTCTGTAGATTTTAGTATGGTTATTGTATATCATACAGCTAATATCCGCTTATTACTGGGTATATACCGTGTGTGTCTTTCTCGTTCTGAGATACCTCACTCAGGATGATCTTTTCTATTTCCCACCATTTGCCTGCAAATTTCATGATTTCCTTGTTTTCAATAACTGAGTAGTATTCCATTGTGTAAATGTACCACAATTTCTGTATCCATTCTTCAGTGGAGGGACATCTGGGTTGTTTCCAGAGTCTGGCTATCATGAATAAAGCTGTTATGAACATAGTAGAAGGACATGGAGGGGACAGGAGCTCCACAAGGAGACCAACAAAGCTAAAAGGAGTCCAGCCCTCTAGCCGCCTTGACTTCAGCCTAGAGACCCTGACAGAAAGCATAGTGAGCTTGCCTGGGCTTTGGTCCACTCAGTGCTGTATCAGGTGAAGATTTTCCTTTGGTGTGTGTGGGGGGGTGTGTGCATCTGTGCCTGAGTGTGTACATATGTCTGTGTGTGTGCGAGTGTGAGCCCAAGTGTGTGCAGCAGTATGTGCAAGTATGTGTACGTGTGTCTCTATGTGCATGTGTGTGTCCCTGTGCATGTGTGTCTGTGTGTGCATGTGTCTGTCTGTATGCGAGTGTCTCTGTGTATGTGCATGTGTATTCATGCCCATGTCTGTGTGTGTGTAAAACTGATATTTCTCTTTCTTTCAAAGTATCAGACCAGAGCTTCCCTGGGCTTGCTAGAGGCCTGATATGTTGCCCCCGACCCCTGTCCTATGTCCCCAGTGTGGCTCCTGACACAGCAGGAGCACCTGGAATTTTTCTAGAATTACGCACTTTCCCAACTTCTCCTTTGACCAGCAGCCAGGGGAAAGTTCTCCTAATGGGGCTCCTGCGGTCAGTCTCCTGGGACGAGTCGGGGGAAATTTCCACATGAAGGCTGAGCTGATGGGTGACCTCAGTTCCTCTGAGAAGTCCTTCCGCCTTGCTGTGTAATGTACTTTGGCGGTGGGAACAAGCGTCCTAGGAATTCAGTGAGGAATCCAGACTATGTTTAGAATTCCAGGGACGAGAAATACATTCTCCTTCCTCTTTTGTCAGAGGCATGATGGGAACCCGAAGGTAACTTCGTTTTCATCAAATCCTGGAAATGACACTTTTTATCTGGTGCCTGCGTGAGGGCCATCCCTGAGACTGTTCCCGTGCGGCTAAGTGGAGGTCGCAAATCCTAACCGTCACTATAGATTCAAAAAGCATCTGGATTGTGGGGACTCTAGTAGACCAAGAGTTAAAGTGTCAGTCTCCTCACTCTGCACCCGCCTTGGCGTTTGGTCCACAGTTTCTCAGTTGCTCCTTTAAAACACACATGTTGGAAAGGACTTCATGTGGAAATGAGGTGTGTTCCCTTCAGTTCCCAGCCCTTCACTGTTCCCAGAGAGGCCAGGGACTGCTGGGGGGGGGAGGGGCAAATGTCACTTCATTTTTTGTTGTCTCCTTCAACTTCCCCTTTCTTTGGAATTGCTAGAAATATACCAGGAGAAAAGCTAAAAATAACCTTATCATCCAGACCGGAAATGAAAATGAAAATGGCCCCATTCCTTTATAAACAGCAGCTCACATACTTGGGGAAAACATTTTTTTTTTTTTTTTTTTTTTTTTTTTTTGTCTCACAGTACTGCAGAGCATAGGGTGTGAAAACAGACCCAAGTTCTTTATCATCTGACCTCGGTGCTGGTATTTCCTGCATCGCCTTCAGGATGGCTGGCCTCAGCAGAGGCCCTCTAGTGAGTGCCGGAAGGACACTGTCTGATGGCATTCTTGGCATTCACCCTATCTGACCGTTCCTTAGGCTAGCCGGGCCCTTTCAAGCACTTGGCTTGAGTCTTCTGAAAGCCATACTGACCGACTTGTGGAATGCTCGTTTTCCATTCATTCATTCATCAAATCGTTAGCAAGGAGGACTTACCGCATTCCTGACAGCGTCTGTGTGCTTGAAACAGCAGTGAAGTAAAGCATCCAGGTTGGTCCTTGAGGGGCTTGTGGTTTAAGGATGAGGAGAAGATACTGAATAAACAAACTTAGTCAGAGCAAACCTCCTGCAGGATGCGCTACAAGAGTGGGCGATGCCAGGTAGGGTTCAGGGGGGTGCTAGGAGGCGGCACCTCTAGGTGTGGTGGCTCAGGTATCTTGTTTATTGATATCTAAAAATACCACATCCCATTCGATATTGCTCTATTGAGAACTCTCTGTTTAGCTCTGTTCCCCATTTTTTAAGGGGATTACTTGGTTTGCTGCTTTTCAGCTTCTTTAGTTCTTTGTATATACTGGATATGAGTCCTCTGTCAGATAAAGGGTTGGTGAAGATTCTTTCCCAATCTGTAGGCAGTCGCTTTGTTTTGATGACGGTGTCCTTTGCTTTACAGAAACTTTTCAGTTTCATGAGGTCCCATTTATTGATTGTTGCTCTTAGAGCCTGTGCTGTTGGTGTTCTGTTCAGGAAGTTTTCTCCTGTACCAATGAATTCTAGGGTATTCCCCACTTTTTTTTCTAGCCGGTTTAATGTATCTGGTTTTATGTTGAGGTCTTTGATCCACTTGGACTTCAGTTTTGTGCAGGGTGATAAGTATGGATCTATTTTCATTTTTCTACATGTAGACATCCAGTTGGACCAGCACCATTTGTTGAAGATGCTATCTTTTTTTCCATTGTATGGTTTTGGCATCTTTGTCAAAGATCAGGTGTCCATAAGTGTGTGGGTTTATTTCTGGGTCCTCTGTTCGGTTCCATTGATCCACCATTCTGTTTCTATGCCAGTACCATGCAGTTTTAAAAACTGTTGCTCTATAGTACAACTTAAGATCAGGGATGGAGATACCTCCAGAAGATCTTTTATTGTAGAAGATTGTTTTAGCAATTCTGGGTTTCTTGTTATTCCATATGAAGTTGAGAATTTTTCTTTCCAGGTCTGTAAAGAATTGTGTTGGTAATTTGATGGGAATTGCATTGAATCTGTAGATTGCTTTTGGTAAAATGGCCATTTTTACTATGTTAATCCTGCCAAGCCATGAGCATGGGAGATCTCAATAGAGCAATATCGAATGGCAGAGAAACACTTAAAGAAATGCTCAACCTCGTTAGCCATTAGGGAAATGGAAATCAAAACAACCCTGAGATTTCACCTTACACCCATGAGAATGGCCAAGATCAAAAACTCAAGTGGCAACACATGCTGGAGAGGTTGTGGAGAAAGGGGAACCCTCCTCTACTGCTCGTGGGAATGTAAACTTGTACAACCACTCTGGAAAGCAATCTGGCGCTTTCTCAGACAACTAGGAATAGCGCTTCCCCAAGATCCAGCCATACCACTCCTAGGCATATATCCAAAAGAGTCTCAAGTACACAAAAAGGACATTTGCTCAACCATGTTTGTAGCAGCTTTATTTGTAATAGCCAGAAGCTGGAAACAACCCAGATGCCCCTCAACTGAAGAATGGATGCAGAAATTGTGGTACATCTATACAATGGCATATTACTCAGTAATGAAAAATAAGGAAATCATGAAATTTGCAGGTAAATGGTGGGACCTGGAAAGGATCATCCTGAGTGAGGTGTCCCAGAAGCAAAAAGACACACACGGTATATACTCACTCATATAGACATACAACGTAGGACAAACCCACTAAAATCTATGCATCTAAAGAAACCAAGCAAGAGAGAGGACCCTAACTAAAATGTTCAATCCACACCTGAAAGGCAAAGAGGATGGACATCAGAAGAAGAAGAAATCAGGAAACAACCTAGAAACCTGCTATAGAGGGCCTCTGAAAGCCAGAAGAAGAAAACAGGAAACAACCTAGGAACCTACCACAGAGGGCCTCTGAAAGCCTCTGCCCTGCAGACTATCAAAGCAGATGCTGAGCCTGATGGCCAACTGTCGGGCAGAGTGAATGGAATTTTATGTAAGAAGTGGGAAATAGTAAGAGCTGGAGAGGACAGGAACTCCACAAGGAGAGCAACAGAACAAGAAAATTTGAACACAGGGAACTTCCCAGAGACTCATACTCCAACCAAGGACTATTCATGGAGATAACCTAGAACCTCTGCACAGATGTAGCCCATGGCAGGTCAGTGTCCAAGTGGGTTACCTAGTAATGGGAAGAGGGAGTGCCTCTGACATAATCTGATTGGCCTGCTCTTTGATCACCTCCCCCTGAGTGGGGAGCAGCCCTACCAGGCCACAGAAGAGGACAATGCAGCCACTTTTGATGAGAACTGATAGACTAAGATCAGAAAGGAGAGGAGAACCTCCCCTATCAGTGGACTTGGGGAGGGGCATGCATACAGAAAGGGGAGGGAGGGTGGGATCGGGAGGGGATCCGGTTTAATGTGTCTGGGAGGGGTTTATGGGGGGATACAAAATGAATAAAGTGTAATTAATAAAAAAAAACAAAACAAAACCACATCCCAGGAGACGCGTGAACAGATAGAAATGCATGGGCCATGCATGGGCTCCCCTACAAACTAGGGAAACTGAGGCTCAGAAAGGCCTGTGCAATGTAATCAAGGGATGAAAGCATCAGCGGCCATTCTTCCTCTCCAGGGTTGCCAGAGCAATGAACAGCTGGTGCTTACTGGATGTTTAATATGCTCCAGGCGCCTGGCAAAGAGCATTTCGATTAGTTCTTACAATGACCAATGAGATAACTATAAATGTCAATGCAAAACACAGCTCTTATCTCAAAGGAGTAAGAGTTCGTTTACTCTTCAGCCAAATATTGGTGCCAAGAAACACAGATTCAGGTGGTCCCAAGATAAGATGTTCCAGTGTGGGTATGACTGGAAGAGATTTTGTAGTTCAAGGACAAAGTTACCAGTCAAGGGGTTTTATGGGTACACCAATGGGGACCCCAGGCAAGCAAATTACGGCCACACACCAAAAGCTCCATACATAGGCTGCATGCCTAGGTCGTGGGGCACGTCCAGCTTTGGGGTGGTGGGTGCCTGCTCTCTCTCTCCGAAGTCAGAGCATTCCAAACAGTCACAAAGAAAATGGGTCAGACAGGAGGGAGTTCAAAGTGGCCCAGCGTCGTTTGTCTCTGGATCTTCAAACATTGCAACTCTCCACGATCCGTCAGTCAGCTTTGTAGAATTTCTGCCATAATCATGGCCTCCCTCCCAGGAACTTTGGTTCATACTAATACTCCTCAGGAGAGAAAGCCAAGGCTTGGAGGGGTTAAATGGGCTAAGCCAGAGTTGACAATGAAAGCACAGCAAAGTTGAGCTTAAATTCTGTACCTGCCTGAATAAAGACCTTGTCCCACAGACTGTGTGACCTCTCTCTTCCTCTGTTTCTCTTCTTCTTCTTCTTTTTTTTTTTTTTTGTGAGACAAGGTCTCTCTGTGTAGCTTTGACTACCCTGGACTCACTTTGTAGACCAGGTTGGCCTCGAACTCATAGAGATCCTCCTGTTTTTGCCTTCCAGAATGCTGGGTTATAGGCATGAGCCACCACACCTGGCTTCTTCTGCTTCCTGTGTTCCTTCCTGACTGTGACTGCCCTGGTTGGTAACCACAGAAATTCATGGAACAGTTGGTCCCAAACAGCCACCAAATGTGGCAGCCTGGCTCCTGGTTGTATTTGCCAACCCAGAGCAGAGTGTGGGGAAGGTCTAGGGTGCAGACGGGGGCAGAACCTGTGCTTGCTGCACACATAGAGCCCACATGTCCCTTCTCTGAGTACAATGACTTGGACTGACAGGAAGTCACCCAGGGGCTGGCGTGTTCTTCAGTAAAAGAGGTAAATATGAGGTAAATAGAGGTAGGCATCTACACGAGAAAGGAAAACTGGAGTTGCAACTTTGGAATGCAGTGTGTGTGTGTGAGGTCCTATAATGTGGGACTCCAGGAACCTAGCTCAAGTCTCTGTTTCCATAGGATAGAAGGTAAGCATGGCTTGGCCCATCTCCTGCCAATTGGTCAGGGCGAAAGAGGAAGTAATTCCGGGAATAACAGCTAAGTGTCTGTGCGTGCTTATGTGCCTGGGAATCTGTCCTTGTGGGGTTACAGGTGTCAGGCTAGAGTCTGTGATGAGCGGAGGGAGTAGGGACTTGTTCAGAGCATCCAAATTGTTCCGTCGGTGGCAGTGATGTAATAGGTACACAGATGTGACAGAGCTGTTTAAATCACTGTAAGACCGATGAGGAAGGTTCCTACCCTTGTTTCTCTGGAAAATCCTTTTCACGGAGCAGAGGAGGGCTCCAACCTGGCATAGAGTAGAGATGACGGCAGGCTGACACCCCTCAGGTACTCTGGCAGGCGTCACTGGATTTTCCTCAAGCCACCGTGCGTACCACGCCCGCTCCCTCACTGGCCCAGTGTCCATCCTTCTTCACCTTCTTTTCCTTGCTCCTGCCTAGGTGGAAGGACAACCCGGCCCTGCCTGAGGGGCTGGTCTATGAGGGTGTTGCCACAGAGCCTCTGAGGTACTCTGGAGGAAGCGCAGCCCAGAGTTCTGCCCTTCAGGCTTTCGATGAGTTCCTGGGCATTCGGCATTTCGAGGAAAGTGGTAAGCAACCCCTATCATCTCAGCTCTGGAGGGGGAGGGTTAGGCGGAGTAGGGGAGCATCTTTAGCCGCTGATAAGACAAGGTATAAATGAAAATCTGCCAAAGTTTACACCGGAGTAAAGCACCAGGCGGCTATGTGCATGCCGTCTCTTATATCACGTCAGTCCGGACCAGGGCCTCAGATCTCATCAGGGTCTTGGGTGTACTTTCAAGCCTTAATACACGGCTGTGGTCTGGGCTGACCACTTTCATGGTTGCCGTAGGTCTTTAATCTATAGATTTCCCTTTCTACGATGGGCTGATGATGTCCGATTCAAAGTCTAGGGCCTTGTGTGGTACAGTTTGAAGCAGTGAGTGATGGGCCTGACCTCTGTCAAAGCCTTTCCCAGGGAATGGCCCAGTTTTCCACTAAATTCGTGTGGACTGGAAGAGGGAGCCCATTGTTTTGAAACCTTTGGAAATAGTTGCTGGGTTTGATGGTGCACGCCTGTAATCCCAGTACTGGGGAGGCAGAGGCAGGCAGATCTCTGTGAGTTCAAGGCCTTCTTGGTCTATAAAGCATGTTCTGGAACATCCAGGGCTCCACAGAGAAACCCTGTCTTGAAAAACCAGGAAGGAAGGAAGGAAGGAAGGAAGGAAGGAAGGAAGGAAGGAAGG